GTGAAGCTCAGGAAAAAAACGAAGAGCTCATCCCATGAGAAACATAGGATGGTGGTGGAGGAGGGTCTCACATATATCCGTCCTTCTGTTAGTTGCATAAAAGGTCCTCATTTATGAAGATTTTGGGGCCATCAATGCCAGTCTTTGTGGAGAGGAATCTGTGTGCCTAATGAAGGGGGAAACCCAAACTTCCTCAAACCAAAGGAGAGAGTCTACTATCCATCAAGAGGACGGTGAACTCACTAGACCGATCGCATGGGGGTCTCTGGAGTCCAGCATGTAGGCCCTGACGTTAATACTCCTCCTAGTGGGGGTTTCAGAGAAAAAAAATCAAAGTGTCTAACACAAATCCCATTTCCATAGCCTGTGTGTGTTACTTCTGAGTCGCCACCAAAATGCCCAGTGGGAAGAAACCATGCACGGTCTGTTTTGGCTCAGTTTCTGAGGGGTGTCAGTTCATCGTGGTGGAGAAGGCAGGGCGGAGTTGTCTCTAGCCACAGCAGTAGAAAGTGAGAGGCAGGGGATTGAGAAGCAGAGGGATGGCTGGCATGGAGCCCAATGGCCCATTCACTTACTTCCAGTCAATGCCCATCGCTTAGAAGCTCCACAGTGTTAGAGAGAGCACCATGATCTGAGACCACAAGCCCAAGCCCCTGTACTACATCCCATAGTCAAACCATCACTAATTCTTTTTTAATTAAAGAAGAATTAGATTTAAAAATTTTTAATTATTGTTAATTATGTGTATGTCTGTGTGTGTGCACATGATTTTTAAAAAAATGTGTGTGTGTATACCTGCATGTCTGTATATGCAACAAGTGCATGCAGTTCCTACAGAGGCCAGCAGAGGGTGTCAGATCCACTGGACCTGGAGTTCCAGGTGGTTGTGAGTTGCTTGACACAGGTGCCAAGAACCAAATTCTGGACCTATGTCTCCAGCCCTGCCTCTTCAACTGTTTTATTATGTATGAGTGCTTTGCTTGCCTTTGTGTAAGTTCACCTCCTGGGTACCTGGCGCCAGTGGAGGCCGGAGGAGGGCGCCAGAGCCCCTGGAACTGAAGTTACAGACAGTTGTGAGCCACCATATAGGTACCGGGCCTGAACTTGGGTCCTCCGGAAGAGAAGCCAGTGCTCTTAATTGCTGAGCCATCTCCCCAGCCCCTATAAGCCTACCGATCTTTTATTAAAGCTGTTGACGAGGGTGGAAATGAATTCTAGTTCATAAATCTCTGGTGGAAGGGAAGGAGCTTGAAGCTGGTCAGAAAAGTAGCTTCCTACTCCTTTATGGCTGTATCTATCCTGATGTGTTCAATCTAGAATGAAGAGTTTCTGCATGGTGACTTTTGTCTTTTAGTTATATCATTATTCTGAACTGTTGTCTTTCTGGTTTGATTGGTCTGAATTTGAGATCTGGATGGTTCTAACATGACAGTGTCAAAACCCAGCAATGTCAGCCAGTTTTCCAAAGAGCGGTTTGTTACATAAAAATTTGAAATTTGGTGATTATAGTTTTCAAAGTACATTATGAAAGTAGTTCATTGTTATTGTTTTTCAAGACTAAAAGTCATAAAATGTGTATTTATTCACAACCAAATGCTCATCCATCTGATGCAGCTGGTCAGATTTGCAAAAGTGGGGTGCTAATGACTGACCTTAGACACTTTAGGCTAGATCCTAACTCGAGAGAGGAAGGGTAAAAGAGCAGAAGGATGTTAAATCCACAAGACAAAGGATGAGGCAGAGAGCAATAGCCTAGGAGAAAGTCTGCATTCCCTAGGGCATACTGCCAAGGTATTTAAAAACAAAGAAGCATGTGCCAGATAGACATTTTCTGTGGAAACAAAGAAGTCTCCCTAATGCTTCTCATGGGTGGATGGCCAAACTGACTCTCTGTAGGGATGGACCAGTTTGAGTTGACTGTGAGGTGAAACTTTGGGTACTGTCTCCACACATGGACATCTAGCACACTTGCAAGCAGGAGAGAAAGACTGAACGGTGACTTCCACAAACTGAGTGCTGCTCACATCAACTAGGAGGACAGCGACCTCCACTAACTGCAGGGCTGTCTTGCTTCTACTTCTAGAGGGAAGCTTTGCCACGTGGGGAGGGGTTTAGGAACATCGGTAGAGAAGACACGGTAATGAAGATCTCAAAGGCTCTTGCCTATCATGGGCTGGAAAGTCATTGTGACACCATAGCTTTCTCTTCCACTGGGGTCCTTGGCTAGCCGTGGTGAGCTCTGGGAAGACGGTGTTGATGAGCGCCCTTCAGCGAGGCTGCTCTTAAGAAAATGAGTGTTCTCATCACTCGGATGCTAGGCAAGAACACGGGTGACACAGAGGAGTGGCCATGCTGACAACATTATTCTCTTTTGAGTTGGTTAATCTACAGTTAAGGGCTTAACATCCGGAATAATCATCCTGTTGGGATAAAACCTGGCAATTTGAAACTAATAAGCTGTGCGGAGAGATGGGTGAAAGCGTCTCTCCGCAATGGATGACCAAAGCTCCTTGGACTGGTACTTTGCAGTATTGACTGCTGGCAAAGGTCTTCTCACCATGTGCCTAAAGGAACTCTTTGGTGATATATTATTTATGATCTAATAGATCCACTGGAGATCAAAATGCAAAGCTAGCCACAGCCATAGAGCCAGGCAGTGGTGGTGCACACCTTTAACCCCAGGACTCGGGAGACAGGGGCAGATGGATCTCTGTGAGTCCATGGTCACACTCAGCTACATGAAATCGATCCAGTCTAAAACAGAAACGGAGCTCACACAAAGGTGGTCTCAGCACTTGGGATCACACACCTTTAATCCCAGCACTAGGGAGGTGGAGATAGGAGTGATATGGCTGGGTGGAGAGAGGAATGTAAGGCAGGAAGTGACAGGAACTCAAAGGATTGCAGCCTGAGGCTTGGTGGAGTCAGCATTGTACTCTGAGGATTCGTGGAGACAGGATCACCCATTATGGTCTGGGGCAGAGCTAAGAGCCAACTGACTTGGTTGCTTTGCCTCTCTGATCTTCGGCTTGAAATCTGAACCCCAATATCTGTCTCTGGGTTATTATTATTTGTGCTACAGAGCTCTTCCTGTAAATGCTGCTCTTCTGCTTGCTGCCCAAGTGCTGCCTTTTGGGGTAAAGACTAGTCTTTCTCCTGCATAAGAAGCAACATGAATTGATATACCCTCCATAGCTTGCAGCGGGGTTACATCCTGACACACCCAACTAGGGCACCCAACCTGCTGAGCCTTAGCCTAGCAACAGGGTCCACCAAGAGTGCTTCCTGGCTGTTTACTTCACCGTCACCGGTGGCTCTCTGCCATTGCTCAGCACTGACAAAGTGCTGCCCTTTATACCCTCGGCTGTGGAAAAACAAATCAAAATTTAAATTCCAAAGTACACTTTCTACTGATTGCATATTACCTTTGGGCCCTTGTGAAGTTAAGAAGTTGTAGGCCAAGCTAATGTCAGTAATTTGATCTGCCGCTCTCCCCACGGTTCCAGAACTTTCTTGTGTGGTCTTGTTCTTTGTTCCCACAATTCAATGTCTATCCCCTAATCTATCTGTCTGACTATTAAATCAGACAAGTTTGGGAATTAGATTATTTTTAAGAGCACTCTTTAGAGTTAGCTGTCCCCGGACACTAATTCATAATTTAATATAACAATAAAGACACTGAGTGATCACCCGTCTCTTCGTACTGGGAAACTTATCCCAGGCATCTGTTTTCTAAGAAAGCCCTGTTACGGGTGGAAGAGGAGTAACATGACTAAAGGATTCTAGATCCAGATATCAAACCACAGGATCTCTCCGGTTGTTGCACGCTAGCCGTGGTAGACAGTCAGAGAGAGACGGAGGGCGTGGGCTGGAGGCTGTATACCATATGCACAAATTTCCCACCAACCCGCTTACTCTGATGAGACCATCTGAGGCTCATATTTAACACCAGCTACCCAAGTTTTTGAAAAAGGAATTCTCTCTCTCTCTCTCTCTCTCTCTCTCTCTCTCTCTCTCTCTCTCTCTCTCATTTGTATGTTCATGCGGTCTTATCTAAAATAAACAAATTTGTCCGTGTTACTCGCTGATATAGGTAATAAAGGGGCACAGAGGATACCTAGGAGGAAGCACTGGTCTAAGTATGGAAGGAGACAGGACCTCAAAGGGGGCTTCTGGGGATAAGCACAGTCCTGGATACGTTCTGAAACCTGAGTCATCAGTGACTCTAGGGAACCGAGACTGTCAGAGTGTGCGTGTAGTGAGAAAGCGAAGCAGCCGGGACTCGGAGCCGAGGAAGAGCCCACCGTTCACATTGCTGGAAGTGCTCCCTGTGGCTGGAGCCTAGAGGCAGAGTAGGAAGAGGAGATACAGACTGCGGACAGCCCACTTGACAGGGTTCTTCTGAACAACAGACAGGCCGGAAGCATAGACGGGTTTTTAATCCGATTGTACAGGAGGGTCTCATCTTTTTTATTTTCCTCCCCCCACTCAAAGACTGATGTATTTGTGTGTGCCCGAGTAAATCCGTGTGCCGCAGAGACTGCAAGAGAACGTTGGGTCTTCTGGAACTGGAGTTACCGTGAGCCGCTTGATGAAGGTGCTGGGAACCCAATCTGGGTCCTCTGCAGGGTCTTGCACCAAATACGCTGCTTAGCCCCTGAGCCGTCTCTCCAGCCCCTCTCTTCCTTTCACAAGATAGACGTGACATATGTTACAGAAATTGTTTGGATAGATCGAATTTCCATATGTTTGCTCAGTGGGGAGTTTGGAAACAGCTGAGTGAACACCAGCAAAAAAACGCTCGATTCACGAATGAAACTCTGGGTCCAAGGAACTGAGGGCACAGTGGGTGTCATGGGGTTCTCTAGTTTTGTCCAGGAAAATACTGTCGGTGTTTCTCCTCTGTTGGGTCTTCACAGGCTCCCCCGCGTACCTACAGGAGGTATTCTTGGATGGGGGGGGGAGCAACTCTGCATCTCTCTGATGATTGTCTCTTCTAGTTGCAGGTCAATCAAGCTCACTGTGGCCAAGGCATGAAAGAATTTGTCAGCACGATTGATGGAGAGGCTGGGGTGGTGGACACTGGGCATTGGGAGCCATCTCTCTGCAGACAGCAGTGTTTCTCGAGTGCTGTTTCTTTGAAGAAGAAGGAGACAGTCGTTGGCTTCTCTGATACATTTAGCTTCACTGTGCTGAAGCAGAACTCCAACAAGCTTCACTGAGAAGGGTGCATGGGACAACCTGGTAAGGAAGCAGAGATGGGGAGTCGGGGAAGTGAGGGTACAGAGGCCAGCAGAACCAACAGGGAGCGACTCTGGCTCAGTCACCAGAGGACTAGACCCACACCAACCATTCCCCTTAGCACCCTTGTGATGACCAAGGGAAGACTCGCCATTAGTCATGAGGCCAGATCTCTTCCTTCCTCCTCCTACCCTCTGCCTCCTATGCCTTTCTGAGCTGGTTTTAGAGTCATACACCATTTGCCTGGCTGGGTGCAAGAGTACAAGCCTTCCTGTTTGCCACTCCTCCAACACTGTTCTTGGAGCACATGTATGTCTTTTATCGTTGTTTGAGACAAACCTCGGTGTTACTTCGGTTGACTTTAAGCCTTGATTCTCCTGCCTCATCTTCCCAAGTGATGAGACTGCAGGTGCCCCCCCCTCCATGCTTGGCACACAGGCAACGAACTCTTCAGGGTTTAGTTAAATTGATATAGGTACTGTTTATCACAAATCATCACCACCCATGCTTACCCCTCCCCTTCGCATTTGTGTGTGTGTGTGTGTGTGTGTGTGCGTCTGTGTTGAGAACTCAAAACCAGCCGTCTTAACTGCAACAACAAAAAAAGCAAGTAAGCCATACAACTGACTACTCATCACACTGTAAATCAGATCCCCAGGACCAGCTAGTCTTGTATGTGGAAGTTTGTGGCTATGATAAGCATCTCCCCACCCCCACCCTAGTCCTTGGTAGCCTCCAGACAACTCCACTCTACTGCCCTGAAGGTGGCATGTTTAGACTCCACAGATGAGTGGCATCACACGGCATTCATCTTCCTGTATCTGGCTTTTCTCACTCGGTCTTTTTGCCGATGCCACCCTCTGCCTACACCCCACCCCTGCTTCTTGTATTTACAGCCTCCGCAGCTCTGTTCTTGGTAGTTTTCCCAAGGCAAGAAGGTGTAATGATGACAGGGAAGTAAGGACAGCTGATGAGGAACGCTTGCGTTAAGGAATACGAACATTGGTGAGCTTTACACACCTACCTCCCTTCTGTGTGTCTGGGTACTTGGCTTCTCCCCCTGCAAAGTACAGCCCTGCAAGGGTGAGGTCATCTCCCATACTTTAAAGATGAAACGGACATGTATTGTTGCTCCAGGACATTGTATCTAACAATTAGAGAAATTAAAAAATCTGAATTTTGTTTCTAAAGTTTCTCTTTCCTTGTCCACTGACTGCTATATTACATTAAATGCAGATACCTGGGACCAACGCCTAGTTCAGAGAAGAGGCCTGAAGATGGGTATTGTTGGCAAATCCTGATCCTAATGATATGTAAGTTTGAGAAACGCCTACAAAACAACGCGGGGCATCCTCAGCCCACCCTGGCATAACCTGACTGACTGTGATTTCCCCAGCCTCTCCTTCAAGCTGCCAGGTCCAGTGGAATCTTCCAGCAATAGCAGGCCACACCGACTTCGCCTGGAAACAATGGGCATTTCACACCTCCATCTACCTTTGCTGAATGCCTGCTCCGTGTGAGTGCTGCTCCAGGCTCCTGTAATGCAGAAATAGTAAACTGCACAAAATAGGGATGTCCTATGACAATTTATTGAAAGAGAAATCACTTACTTGAAAAGCCAAAAAAGCTGAGAACCAAAGGTCCACATGCTGCTCTCCGAGTCAGTGCCCGGCGGGTGTCGGTGGCACACGCCTTTAATCCCAGCAGAGGCAGAGGCAGGCGGATCTCTGGGAGTTAGAGGACAGCCTGGTCTACAGAGCGAGTTCCAGTACAGCCTCCAAAACAATACAGAGAAACCCTGTCTCGAAAAACCAAAAAACCAAAAAACAAACAAAAACCCCCAAAATCCAAAGAGCAAGAGTCTCCTCTCCCTAGCTTTATTTATACCCATACATTCTCTATGTCTCTATGTACCCATGAACACACCCACACAGGACTGGTTAGCGCTAGGGTTACATAAAATCTCTCTCTACACTCCTGTCTCCAGCATTCTTGCTATTGTGAGTGTCCTGTCAGTCCTTCCGTCCTCCCTCCCACCCCCCCACCCCCGCAGCTGTGGCTATCACTCCCTCACTCCCTCCCTCCCATTTCCCTGAAACCTAGTCTCACTTGAAATAGACGCTTGCTCCAACAGTCACACTGTGTGCTTTATTAATCACATCGGTCCACAGAGGTCCTTCTAGGTGCAACGGAGACGGAGCAATTATACAGCAAAGCTAAGCGTTTCTTATTGAAGATGTAGGGCAAGGAGAAGTTGTGGGTGCTGGTTGTGGAAGACTCCCTTTCACACTCTCCACAGCCCTAGTCCAGGGCCGAAGAGTCTGTTACTATAAATGTGTTTGCTATTGTTATTTGAAGTCAGCATGCTGAGTTCCAACAGGAGGCTCACCCACCACATTCTACCTGTGGTGGGGTGTTTGGTGAATAAGTTAATCGCTCAATGCTCCAACGGCTTTTTTTTTTCATTTTTGCAAACAGAGACATTGATAGTCACTCTCCCGGAGAGTTGCAGTCCTAACTAAACAAGCTAGTATGACCCCACACTGTGAACAGTGCTGGTCACGTGGCAAGGGTTTTTTTTTTTGTAAGGTTTATCTGATTTCACAATTTCTCCTGACACTCTTCAAAGAGAAGCTACAGGAAATAGAAAAAGTGGAGAAGCCAGAAATAACAGGAACGGTGTTGAGCCTCACCACAACGTGGGAAGGGTTCCTTCCTTCTCTTTTATTCACGTTTGTGTCATTCTTGTGCTTATACTACCTGGAAGACATGGTGTCGCTCGACCCACAAGCTGGCTGCATTCGCTGCATTTTATGTGTGATGTGCCAAGCAGTCAGCCTGCCCGCAAGCAACGGGCAGTTTTTTCATTGCCGATGGAATTCTGGGAGCTGGAAGGTAATAACTGCAGGCAACACAGCCATGGTGCTATTGAGGTGTTGCTTATAATGCAATGGGAAATGACAGGATGAGAAAGGACCACTTGGTTATTTGCTAATACCCCAAAGAGAAAATTTTAGTGTCTTACTCCTAGGAACCAGGAAAAAACAAAAACAACAAAAACCCAAAGGTGCTGAGAAAGTGACGTTGATGCTAACACCAACGCTAGCACAGAAATTGATCAGGTAGAGAGGTGGGGCTGCTATTGGGTCAGAGCAGTGGAAAGCTGTTGTGGTGTCTGCCTCCTTCCACACTCTTCATGTGGCTACTCGTTAACAGTGAGTCATTTGTAGAAACTTAACAAGGCCAGCCCATATAGGGCTTCAGGCTTCCTTTCTCAGGTTTTTCTGACGTAGAAAAGCACCAATGAGATGATCATCTAAAGCCTTCCAGGTTCTAATGGGCTTCACTCGCAGGAACACTGTATTTGGACAGGACGCTTCGTATTCTGCTGCTCGTTTCACGACAGAACGTCTGTTGAGCAGGGATTGCGGCTTGCGCGGTGATACCGCTTCGTGGAGGGAAGTTCCAGGACAAGAAAGAGATTCACCATTGTCCAATAAGCATCACATCACCCGAAGGGAAAGTTCTAGTTTCTGGGGTGTGCTAGTGTGGACGATGGCACTGAGAACTTCGTGATTTTTGTATCACTAGGAACATAATAATTCATTAATTCACTTACAACTAAATATTGGTAATATTTCCTCATTGTAAGAATCGAAACTCGGACGTTTTCAGTACTTGGAAAGTGAGGGAGGAAATGAGTTTCAACACCTCAGGACAAGACTTTTACTGTTTCCTCATTGCTGAGTTACCTCTTAACCAGCATCAAGTCCTCTGACCAAAGCAACCCGTTTTCTCAGCTCCACTCCTGTGTGGCTGATACAGAGTGCATCCCTTCCCTGGACTCTTTCCTTTTGAGGAAAAAAAATCACCCACATCTTTTTTTTAATTTATTTAAAACAATCTTTTTTATTTTACATACCAATCCCAGTTCCCCCCTCCTTCCCTTCCTACCACTCCCCCTGCCTCCCCCCCCCCCCCCGACTCTACCCCCATCCACTCCTCAGAGAAGGCGAGGCCTCCTATGGGAGTCAACAAAGTCTGTCACATCATTTGGGGCAGAGTCTAGGCCCTTCCCCATGTATCTGAGCTGAGCAAGGCATTCCTCCATAGGGAATGGGCTCCAAAAAGCCAGTTCATACACTAGGGATAAAACCTGGTCCCACTGCCAGCAGCCCCATAAACTGCCCAAGCCACATAGATGTCACCCACATTCAGAGGAACTAGTTCGGTCCTAAGCAGGTTCCCCAGCTGTGAGTCTGGAGGCAGTGAGCTGCCACTAGCTCGGGTTAGCGTTTCTGTGAAAACCCCACATCTTAAATCATGGAATGGCCATGGGATGCAAAACCAGATGCAGCTCCAGGAGGTCAAGGAATCTTCAGTGTATCTCTCCCAGTAACACGTGTGTAACCTCTTAGGCCGGGATAACAAAAGACTCATGGGTACCACTTTATGGTGGCTTTGTGAATTTGAATCCTTTTTGGACAACTTTTCTTTTGTCCATCAAGTTTACAGCTCAGTTCTTGCAGCCTCTTGGGTCCTCTCTAGGCTGTGTGTCCCTATTTTTATTTGTCTGTATCCTAGACTGTATCACCATTTTCAGTTGCTCAGAGACTATTTCAATATTTTAATTGCAAGGATATAAATAAAAGGGTGGAAGAGATAGCCCAATCAGTGAAGTACTTGCAAGGACCTAGGTCAGATAACCCAAACCCATATAGAAAAAAATAAGCCAAGTGTGACCAGCCAGCCTATTAATCGCTACATGGTGAGTTCCAGCCAGTGGGAGACCTGGTGTGGTAGTTTGAATGTAACTGGCCCCATAAGCTCATAGGGAATGGCATATCGGTAAGCATGGCTTCATTGGAGTGGTATGGCCTTGTTGGAGGACGTGTGTCACTGTGGATGTAGACTTGGAGGTCTTATATGCTCAAGCCATGCCCCGTGTCTCAGATCACTTCCTGTTGCCTGTGGGATCAAGATGTATGTAGTTCCTTCTCCACTCAGCTCCTTCTCCAGAATGCTGGATGCTGCCATGTCCTGCCATGATGATAATGGCCTAAACCTCTGACACTGTAAGCCACTCAATTAAATGTTTTCCTGTATAAGAACTGCTATAATCATGGTGTCTCTTCACAGCAATAAAAACCCTAACTCAGACACCTGGGCACCTAAGAATGACACCAGGAGGGGCTCTCTGGTCTCTACAGACATACTCACCCACCATGTATGTATAGCCCCTCCCACTGCCACAGGCACCTGCACGCAAATACATGTACACACAAACAAATATCTGTAGAAATTCCCTTCAGATTCAAACATTAGTTCCTATAAAAGATTTGGTTCCACCTGATACTGAAATGCAGATTAGGACATATACAGAAGTCTGCAACAGTTCCCAAGGAAGTCAGGATGCTCTCTCTCTCTCTCTCTCTCTCTCTCTCTCTCTCTCTCTCTCTCTCTCTCTCTCTCTCCCTCTCCCTCTCCCTCTCCCCCTCCCCCTCCCTCCCTCCCTCCCTCTCTCTCTCTCTGTCTCTCTCTCAAATGTATTTAAAATATAATGGAATAGTAATGGATCAAAATAATATTCTGGCAGGACTATAATCAAAATTCAGAAGAGAAGGCCCAGAAATAGTTCATAAGCATAAGCATTCACCTAGGGATTTAGTACATGACAAATGAAGTATCACAAGTTAGGGTGACATAGATTATTAGACAAATTATGCTAGAAAACTGGTGTTTCAGGACAAGATCAGGTTCTCATTGTAGCATGCTGAGATTAATCTTGTATGAGTTGAACAAAATTGTAGGGCAGGGAAACGCTCCCGTGGTTCTTTGTAATTTTTCCGTGTAATTGTTCCCCCCAGTAAACGCCCATTTATCATGTATCTTGGGTCTGGTGAAATCATCACATCCTTGCCTTCACAGTATGATATAAGAGCAAAACAATTTACAAATGAATGAGTTTTTAGCTCGACATGTTTGATTTGATAGAAAGGTATCCACCCCTAGCTCAAAGAGTTAATGGTGGTGGATGGCTACTGGAGAGGGAGAGTCGGTTTCCTTCGGGGATGTGGCCCCTGAGAGGTACCCGTGTCCCAGGCCTACACGCAGGCACACACTGGCAGCACTATGTAGGCTCAGTGGGTTGAAACAAAGAGTGCATGAAATTGGGAGGAAATGGTGGTGGGAAGAGGGGAGGAACGGAAGGGGTCGGAGTGGGGTGAGCGTGATCAAAAGTACACTATACAGGCCCGAAAGTATCAAGCAATGAAACACAGATGCAAGCATGTGTCTTTGCACCGTTGAGTAGCACTCGCTTTGAGGGAGAAGGGTTCACTGGCTCACAGCTTGAAGAGTGCCAAAGTGAGGTGGGAGTCGCGCGTGCGCATCACTTCGCTGCTCATCGCTCCACTCCACTCAGCAGGCAGAGACGGTGGTGCTTGGCGCTCACCTCACAATCTTTCGTTCACCCAGATTCCAGCTTACCGGATGGAGAAGTGATGGGATTAACATGGCGCCGTAGAAAATACCTAAATACCACAAAAGCGGGCGAGCGTGGAAGATTAAAGGAACAACAAGAATATAACACACAGAAAACAAGCAGCAAAACGACAGACCTAAAACCCTCACATGTCGCTGGTCAGTGGTGTCCCACGCACGCCTTTAATCACAGCCCTCAGGAGGCAGAGGCAGGCAGATCTGAGTTTGAGATCGGCCTGCTCTGCGGAGCTGTTGTGCAGATGTACTGCTGTGATTGGTGATATTAAAAGCTGAACGGCCAATAGCCAGGCAGAAGAGGGTGGGTGGGGTCTCTGGGGAAAGAAAGGAGGAGGAGGAGGAGAAGGAGTCTAGGTGCACGGGAGACACAGAGGGGAGACAGGAGGTGCAAGACTGA